AATTGTTAGTCATCTAAACATGCATGAGTAATCGCAAGATAGAAGAATAATAGCATGTTGATTTTCTTATGTTCATGCAGTTTGTGGATGATGTTGAGTTTTGGTTCCCACCGGGCAAAGACTCAATAGTGGAGTATCGATCTGCATCCCGGTTAGGGAGCTTTGATTTTGACTTTAATAGAAAGAGAATCAAGGTGAAAACTACAAGCAATCTTAATTTTTACAACCAACTACATTCAACAAACAACTTCAACTGATTTCCAGACTTTATGACAGGCGTTGCGGCAAGAGTTAGAGAAGAAAGGTTGGGCTTCCAAGGACAGCTTTTGAGAGACACTTTGCTGTTATGCAATAAGATCACATGTAATCAAACATTGGCTCAGTGGTCATGCAGATAGATCAAAATTGAACCCAGATTTTCAAATTAGGCAACTGCAATCATTTAATGATTTTTGTATCGACGTTAGTCGGCTAACAGATCTTGCTTGCAGCTTGAAGGCAAACTAGAAACAAGTCTTGAGTAAAGTGTGTTGGTTCAAGAAAAAAAACTCATCTCAATCATATTAAACATTGGATTTAACTTGTACACAACTCAGTAGAGATTCTTAAAATCCAAATATTGATATTGGAGATACATATTTTGTTTCCCAGTTTTTTTATGCGATCTTTTGTTTCCCAGTTGCTTCTCACATCACTTAATGTAAACAAAACAGAAAATACCAAAGGTTTGAACAGGAGAATTTATGCGGAGCACATATGCAGGTTTCTAAATCATGTAAATAGCAGCAAAAGAAAATCTCAAACAATTGAACTCCAAGCCAATACAGGTCAGGGAATAAAAGAAATGGTGCAGGGGTGGATAACTTACTTTGTTCACAAAGAAAATATCAGTACAGAAATGGTTCTCAACTGTTAACTGCTTTAAATGTTTCACCGTAATAGGGGAAGTTGAGTACAAACTGAAACTTTGCAACAGAATAAACAAGCCATTTCGAGATATGACCTACACAGAGACCTGGAATAGATGACATTTTCAGCTCTGGTCAAAACCGGCAGCATTGTCCTGGGTAGGCATCAATCTTTCCTCAGTTCCATGTACTCATACCGAGTGCCATCAGCATTTAGAACGACAATTTCAAGCCTGTCACCCTGTAAAACATCCAGAATGCGTTAAAGAAAGAGGTGCAGATGAGCTTGATATAAAAATGGACAAATATGCAAAGGACCAAAAACTTACAGTGTATATATCTCTCTCTGTTGCTGATGCAAAAACAGTTTTAACCAAATCTATTGCCTCTGCTTCAGAAAGTGGTGTAACAGCATCCTGCACGTCATATATTGTAGAAAAGGTTAGTAACAAATAACCAATAAAATGAACCAATTGGATAAATTAGTAGAAATCAAAGTCAAGAGCAAACCACGGCGGGCAGTAAGAGAGGGCTAGGCGACTTCAACTGATTATCTAAAAAGGGTATG